ACTCATAACTGATTTTATAGGCTTGATCAGGCAACCTAAGTATGGCCACTTAAAGGAACTCCATAAGGCTGTCAAGCTATGTGAGTTAGCTCTGCTGAATGCGGATCCTACTGTCACAACCTTAGGGAGCTACGAACAGGTTTGTCTGCTTCTCTGAGAGCGTGTAAGTAAGAATGTCATTTACTCTGAATTTCTGCAGTAGAAATCAGTAGAGTTTCAAAACGTCTTATACGTTAGTTAAACAAGTAATCACACATGAAAAAAAAAAAAAAAAAGTAATCTATCTAATGGTCAAAGGGATTCTGTGTTAATGAGGCCATGCCATATTGAATACCACCTCCTTTGAGAAGCTATGAACTAAGCTTAAGAATGTCGTTCTGGTGGTTTTCAAAAGGAAGTCTTCCTTGAAGATTTGTACAAAATCAATTTCAACCAGATTGATGTTTTGGAAACTTTGAACATATGGAAGTTGATGCTTGTTTCTAACCAGATTGACTCAAATTCCAGGCACATGTATTCTCTTCCAAGTCAGGAGGCTGTGCAGCTTTTCTCTCAAATTTCAATACAAAGTCAGCTACAAAAGTGACTTTCAATAACATGAACTTTCACCTCCCCCCTGGTCCATCAGCATCCTTCCAGATTGCAAAAATGTTGCATTCAACACTGCCCGAGTGAGTTACATAAACGAAAGTAACTTTGGAATGCTTTTTTACTGGTTTTGTTCCACTTTAGTATAGTGTATACGCAGAAATGATAAGCAGGGAGCCATGCATTCTGTTGCAGGTGGGAGTTCAGACATCCCAAACACAACTTTTGCGCACTAACTCTGAGTTGCACTCGTGGGGAATCTTCAATGAAGATGTTTCTTCAGTGGCTGGTGATACTACAATCACGGTCACTGGCCTCCTAGATCAGTTGAACATCACAAGAGACTCCAGTGATTATTTGTGGTACACAACCAGGTGAAATAAAACCACTAAAATGTTTTATACCCAAAATATCTTCTAACATGTATATCCCTTTGTTAAAACTAAACTATCAATAACTTGATGCTTATAGTGTTGACATAGATCCATCAGAATCATTTCTGGGCGGAGGTCAGCATCCCAGTCTAACTGTGCAGTCAGCTGGAGATGCTGTGCATGTCTTCATAAATGACCAGCTCTCAGGTAAACTGTTGATCAGCTTGTGCTGAGAGAAGTACACCAGCTAGTTATGATCTAATGGAATACCTATTGGAGTCTGATTAAAAGATGTATATGTTCTATAACGATAGGATCGGCTTCTGGGACAAGGGAACACAGAAGATTTACTTTTACAGGAAATGTCAACCTGCATGCTGGACTGAATAAAATTTCACTTCTCAGTATAGCTGTTGGATTGGCGGTTAGTTCCTTAATTTCTATTTTCGCTAACATCCAATGCTTTGATATACAAAAGAAAATTTATTGTTGGCTATTATGTTTCGAATTTCTATATTTTCTTTAAAAATTGTGATGATTATTGTATCCTTCATTACAATAAGGAATTAGCCATGGAATGTGAGAGACATATGACTATGAGGTTTCATCATTGCGATGTAATTGTTCAGAGTGAGAACCCCACATTGGGGAAAGAGGGGACAATGCATGTGCTTATAAATAGTTGTGCTACTCCCCATATGTCCAATTGGTTGATGGTGGAACCTCAACTTCTTAGTAATTGAGTCAAAGGGAACATCAGAAGCACAACGAAATTCGGGTAGTTCAAACTTGTATTAGTTTTTGAGTTCGTATTTCTAGTTTTGCATCTCTGTAATACGTGTATGGTTTACATACAGCATTATCTATCTTGTGCAATCTATTTTGTGATTGGTCTGTGTAAAGCTTGCGTTGTCGTTTAGGTTTTGCTTACATTGATCTCTCTCTCTCTCTCTCTCTCTCTCTCTCTGTTTTTAAACCAAATCCAAAGTTGAACTTTTAACTGAACTATTTTCTGCTTGATGTTGTTGAAGAATAATGGTCCTCACTTTGAGACACGGAACACAGGAGTGCTGGGACCAGTTGCTCTACATGGACTAGACCATGGAACGAGAGATTTATCTTGGCAGAAATGGTCATATCAGGTCGGTCTTTAATCTCTACTTCCACTTAATTCCAGTGACTCGTGTACTTGAGGAAGGCCAACTTATTCTTTTGTTTCTTTATACAGGTTGGGCTAAAAGGTGAAGCCGCGAATCTGGATTCTCCAAATTCCATTTCAGCTGTGGATTGGCTGACAGGGTCCTTAGTGGCACAAAAGCAACAGCCACTGACATGGTATAAGGTATGGAAATGTAACTTCCAACGTTGAAGCTTGACCAAATGTTTTACTCTTATTTCATATGGTTCTATCTAAGAACTGAATGTTGGTTGGAGGGTGAATTGGAGTTTGTTCGGCCTCCTACTGCAACGTGGTTTAACAGTTGTTGAATGCGTAGGCATATTTTGATGAACCAAATGGAGATGAGCCCTTGGCTTTGGACATGGGTAGTATGGGGAAGGGTCAAGTATGGATCAACGGGCAGAGCATCGGAAGATACTGGACTATTTACGCTGATGGCGATTGCAGTGCATGCACATATTCTGGTACATTCAGGCCTAAGAAATGCCAATTTGGTTGTCAGCATCCAACTCAACAATGGTACCAACTTCATTCACGGTTTAGGGTTCAGTAAATCCATGCAGAAAACACAGTAAGAACCACTTCAAGAACTGAACTTTAATTCTGTCATGCCTCAGGTACCATGTTCCTCGCTCTTGGCTGAAGCCGTCTAAGAACCTCTTGGTAGTATTTGAGGAGATTGGTGGTGATGTATCAAAGGTTGCTCTTGTGAAAAAATCAGTGACGAGTGTTTGTGCCGAGGTCTCTGAAAATCACCCACGCATTACAAATTGGCACACTGAGAGCCATGGCCAAACGGAAGTGCAACAGAAGCCTGAAATTAGCCTACACTGTACAGATGGACACTCCATTTCTGCTATTAAATTTTCAAGCTTTGGAACTCCATCCGGAAGCTGTGGGAAATTTCAGCACGGCACCTGTCACGCTCCAAACTCAAATGCTGTCCTGCAGAAGGTACTTCTCAGATATTGCTCCTAATTTACTGCAGTAAAGAGTTATAAGTTTTCCAATCAACTCATAGAGATGTCAAAGTTTCAACGTAATCGAGATTTTGGTGATGTTTTATCTTGACAGGAGTGCCTAGGTAAGCAGAAGTGTTCATTGACCATATCAAACACCAACTTCGGCGCGGACCCTTGTCCAAGCAAACTAAAAAAGTTATCTGTGGAAGCTGTTTGTTCCCCTATAAGCACTTGAACTGCCCTAACCGCTGAACGAAGAGAAAAACTGCCAGAACCAAATTCAAGGGTTCAAGACCGAACTTGGGAAAAATTTAATGCCATACGAAAATTGGATTAGGCAGCAGCAGAGCAGTGTTTTAGCATCAAAATATAGAATGTCACATTTGGTGTATGGAAATGTAAAGGTATTGTCTACGGAAGTAGGCATGGAATGCTGATCTTTTCATACAACTGAAAGGAAGCTTCTCAATCACAAAGCTTCCCAGTTGAAGTTTCGATTCAGATTGAGGATGACAGGAGAAATTCGTATTCAACTTGACTTTAAGGAAAATGATAAACACGCACACTGGTTTATTGTCAGTATAAGCACCACCATATTTTGACAAATGGTCTTACGACATTTTGGAGATTCTAATTTTATCAACGTCATGTTGGAGCAATATTAGAAAATATGAAAACAACACAAGAATTCCAATCACAATAATCATAAGGAAAATCACAACATCAATAGTATACAAGATTAATATAAACAATGAGAGATAAACTTAGAAAAACTGACAAACTTGAAGATTGAAGCTTGCATAAATGCAATGTTCTAAAGACAGAATTTCGCCCCTACTCTTGTACTTATAGTTAAGTAGGTGTCCATCTCATGATTCAACAATCTATAATTCGAAGTCAAAGCACTTCAATTTTCGGACTCTGGCGAATTTTATATATTCTTTACTTTCAAGACACAACTCGGAAGATATTTAATAACGAGAGAGACAATAAAGTCTTGGGGACTAAACTCTACTCTTTATTATTTAGACGACTGAGATGGTTGAGTTTATATAGAACTCAAGCCACCCCTTTTGAAACATTGTGACTGCTGCCTAAATTCCAACGAATAAATGCAACTCATGAATTTGAATACAACTATAACACTTGACTCTTATTTTTCATTCAAACAAAAATTAAATATTATAATATATAATTTCCAACACGTCATGTGCATTAACTTCACACATATGGTTAGTGGGCTATTAGCATATGAGGTGTTAACAACTTTCTCACTCAAACATTTTTGTTTTACTTTTTCGGCTCTACTTCACATCTTACAATGTTGTTTGATGATTAGAACCGTCTACTTTATTGATTAACCTTTAAAGATTAACTCTACAAAAATAAACCAAATAAAATCGTTGTCAAAATTTCAATGTTTAAGTGAGACTTGTCTATTTATTGGAAGACTGTTGGATGATCGAATTATTTCAAATTTGACTAATTATTTTCTTACAAAATAAGATGTAAGCCGAAAAGATTATACAAGGAGGTCCAAACGAACAAGTTGCTGAAATCCTACTCCACAATATGGGTATCAAGTATCAACTCATCTAGTACAAATATATGGTCTACATTTCACGAAAATTTTACGGTGCTTTGGAGCAAAGGATGCTTCAATCTTTTTAACCTTTAAATCTTGACTTTTAATTAAAATTTAACAGTTAGAAATTCTGAAATATTTAATACTCCGAAACACTATAAAAAATTCCTGAAAACTTCAAGTCCGACCTCACAATTCCAACTGGGGAAGTCACAACAATTTCATGTTAAAAAACAGTCAACAAAGGAACCCGAGTCAATACGTAGAAGAAAAAGTCCCCTCCAATAAAGGAGCTATTATCCTCTCTGCATGCGTCCATGCTATGCCCCTACAATCCAACCCCTCGTACGAAGGAACTAACCCCCCACGTTTCTTCTTCCGAATTCCACATTCCAATTCTGCGTGTCTGGTTCGGGCGATGAGCTTCTAGAATCTCCGCCATGGCCAAACCCAAAGCTCCGAGACGAACGCTGGACTCCTACACCGTCAAACCCATCAACAAAACCATCAGAGGTACACCACTTCCACTACTCACTACTCGGAATTCAGTTCCCTATTTCTAAAAATTCAAAATTCGATTCGTATTCTCTGTAAATTTGATTTCTGTGTTTGTGGGGCAGCCGGTGACTGCGTCCTGATGCGGCCGTCGGAGCCGGGGAAGCCGTCGTACGTGGCGAAGATCGAGCGCATCGAGGCCGACAGCCGCGGCTCCAACGTCAAGGTCCACGTCCAGTGGTACTATCGGCCGGAGGAGTCGCTTGGCGGCCGGAGGCAGTTTCACGGCTCCAAAGAGGTCTTTCTCTCCGATCACCACGATGTTCAGAGCGCCGACACCATCGAGGCCAAGTGTACGGTCCACACCTTCAAGAGCTACACCAAGCTTGACGCTGTTGGAAACGACGATTTCTTCTGTCGTTTTGAGTATAATTCCTCCACTGGGGCTTTCAATCCCGACCGTGTTGCCGTGTATGTTTATTCTTCTTTTGCTTCAAATTGGTTGAATTGGAATGGAGATTGAGTTGTCAGTTCTTCAACTTTTCTTGTTATTTGGTGTTTAGTATTGATTTCGTGCTTCAATTGATATGATTTGGTTGGTTTCTATTGTTTTTAGAGTGCATTAAATATAAAAGCAATGAACTTTCGCTCACTCTTCATTGTTACTTCCATCATATATTGTAGTAGTCTCTGGAAACTTTAAGAAATACGTAAAACTATGGCCCGTTTGATAACAATTTTAACTGAAAACTTGTTTGATTGTGAAAACTTAAAACTGCTCGGCGAAGGGCCATAGAAGTGCGCTTTTAAAGCGCATGAATCAGACTCTGAATTGAAGGTCACAGGGGCTATGAGACCCAATTAAGCGTACGAATTAGTGCTGGAAGCCCTAGTAGTAAGCATAAACTTTAAAGTAGCCCCAAGCTTGTTCATAAGTACAAGATAACCAAGATGAATGGTAGTCCAAAATTTGAATACTCAAAACAGTAGCTTTTAGTTTTTTTTATGAAAACTGAAAACAGTTACCATGCAAGTTTTCAGTAGTAAAAACAAAATCGAAAACTGAAAATGAAATGGTTGGCAAACGGCCTCTAGAACTAAAAGCTCAAAACTTTTCTTCATTGATTTAAGTTTTATGCATCTTCATCTGGTCCTTCACCCTTAATTCTCAGTTTCCTATCCTTCTCGTTATCAACGTAGCTTGACTTTCAAGATTTCGTTTTCACTCTTTATCTTATATAGGTTATACTAATATTTGAGTTTGATGAAATCATAACCGAAACATATTTTAAGCCTTGAGCTTAAGTGTCCAATTTTTTATTAGTTATATAAGTTTCCCACAATTTTTGTTTTTGCTCATGGCTGTTAAGTTGTCAGCCTTTCTATTTGATCTTTGTGAACAAGCTCAAGTTGTTGCCACATTGGGTTTTGGAATGACTGATATCAAAATGCCTCTTTTTGGGTTTCTGATGTTACGTGGCAGGTATTGCAAATGTGAGATGCCTTACAACCCGGATGACCTCATGGTTCAGTGTGAAGGTTGTAGTGATTGGTAAGTTAAATGTTTAAGTTATTTAGTTGTTTGTGCGCTCCCCACGCTAATGCCTCACGGAGGGTGGATTGGATTCTTATCATAAAGTTGAAAAGTTGGTCCTTCGTCTGAATATTTCTCTTATCTCTTGATAGATTTTATTTATCATGTTTTAATTTACACATGCATTTAGTTGCTAACCAGGTGCACACTGAAACTTGGCTGTTCCCTTTTACTAGATCTCGAAGACTATGACTTTGTACTTCTTATATATTTCAGACGGACCTTTCTGGAGTGTAACAGATTTTCTGGGGTATAAATTGCCTCTAAATGCTGGAGGGGAAATTGTTGTGAAATTGAAGATGGATGGATTATAAATTTAATTTTAAAGTAACTGTTATTCATAACTTGAGGGGAAATTAGGGGAAGTAATTGGTTAGTTCATGGAACTGTGTTCATACACTACTACAGGTTAGCATTCAAATATACATAGTTAACGTGCCATACCATAATGTTAGTTATTACGAGGAACTTCTTGAATGTGAATCAGCTAGACATTTTGTTTATTTGTGCACCAGACGAAGTCTCATGGTGTTGCTCCCTCTAAAGAAGTATACCGTTTAGAGGAACTATTTTTAGATGGAATGTTTTGCTTTACCCTTTTTCGGTATGCATATATCTCTGATCTTTGTCCCAAATGCTAACATGGAATAAGCATGAAGCATACTGACAAGTGTATAACCTTATGCTGGTCTGCCTTGAGCATGTGGTGTGTTGCTGAGCCATTGCTTTCCGCAGCTTCTGAGGTTGACACTTGAGGGGCTATTGCTTGAAAATAGTGAAAACAAAGGCATCGAAGCACGGATGCCTAGTCTTTTCTTAAGTGATATGCTTTTTGTCTATTTTCACTTGTACTTTCTTCCCCTTGCCAATCCTTTTATAATACAGATGCAATATTCAATTTACTTCACTTGATTCAGGTTTCATCCTGCTTGTATAGACATGAATATACAGGAAGCCAAAAGACTAGATCACTTTTTCTGTGAAGGCTGCTCTTCCGAGGGTCAAAAGAAATTGCAGAATTCCCATACTGCTTCCAGACACCCTGATACAAAGGTACATTCGGATAAAATTTGAAGTTAGGTTTACCATTATCATTCTTGGTTGCATGTGGGGTTGTGGACTCAATTTGAATTGCGTGTCCTCTGGTAATTGACACGTTATTGGACATGTTTCGGATTTCTTTATCTATTATTAAATGACTCGAAGACACATAGGGGCTTGTGATGAATATATACTCTCAGTTTTGAGACCAGATTAAGTTGAATAGAAAGAACAGAAAAGGGTGTTAAAAGAAACCATACATTGAATAGAAAGAAACTTATTACAAATTTCCAGGACTATTGGTAGTAGGCATCATTGGTCAGACTTCATGAATATCTTACAGTTGGCGGTGAGGCAATGACATAAAAAAGCAAATATACTATGTGTTCATTAAGTTGTCCGACTTTATATGAATTTTAAAGCGTATAATTTGTTATGAGAACGACTAGTATTTGGAGATGTAGGTAATTTAATGGTTTGTTTGAAGCTTGATTTTGTCAAGACTCAAGAAAAAACAACCAAGGCAGTGTTTATCATTGATAGTTGTTGGTCTCTAGCATCTCTTTGAAGTCAATGGCCACAAAGTATTCTTGAATTTCATTCATGTTGTCTTTCAGGTGGATACAAAACGGCGTCGGAGGTGATATTGTATATACAAGTCAATCTGATAAACTAGAGGTTGTGGCCTTCTGATCATTGGTAGGGCTTAAGCAAGCACGGAGACGGGAGACATGTCTTGCATCACAAATTGTGTATCTATGAGTTAATTGGAAGACGAAAACTAGCTTGAAAACCTTTATATGTAATTAAGTAGATCCTCTATCTATTTAAGGTCGAGGACGTGTATGTATGTATGTATGTAGTTATGGAATGTAGAAATGTGAATATTCCGAACGCATTTATTCCCCTGTTGGATCTTCCTACTTAGGTCTAGCATCGACAAGTTTGGACACTATATATTTCACTGTTCCTGCGTTGCAGAAATCATCTCAAGACACTGGAGTACAATCATCAGCCATGGATGATCTGTATCCAACCAACATGAAAGATAATACTCGTAAAGAAAATGTAACTTTGTCAACTGGATCACTACTGTAAAGGTACCACGAGGAAAACATGTATTACTTGTCACGATCTTGCAATCACTGGCAAAGCAATATTATAAATTACCCACAAGGCTAAAACACATGTCGAGCTTTCTTCTCATAGTCTTTTATCAAGTACACAGACCACAAGAAGCTCAAAATACCACCATCTCAAATTTAAATTAGAGTCACTTCTGAGGTCCTAGTACCTTAATAAAAGCCATTAGCACTAAATAACAGTCAGGGTGTGTTGGATGTTTTTTGTTGAATGAAATATTCATAGTGCTTCTCTGTTTCAGTTGCTTGCCTTAATAAAAGCCATTATCTTCTAGTTGTTTACGTTGTAGGCTGGTACTAGAGACAAAGCTTTGGAGTTTTCAGGTATCTTCTCGCACTAGAAGATAATGAACCCTACATTTTAGTTTGCATTTTATTTTATTTTGTTTCTGTCCGCTGTGCCCTCTATTAGAAATGAGTAAGAGACCAAAAGAGATTGCCACCAACCCCCTTAGCTAAAGAACAGAGTCGATGGCCGAGGATTTTTGTTTTTTTATTTATCTATATTCTCTCTAGTGGTTAGTATTTTTTACTTTTTATATTTTATTATACTAAGAGTAATAAGATGCCACACGAATTAAGATTTAGAATATACGATGCACATATGCAACTTTTGTACAGTGCATGGTCCATGGCCTTCCACTGCTTTTGAGTGAGTGCGAATATTTATCATGTAACTTTAGTGGGTTAGTGACAATGAACATATTGTCCGATGTAACAATGGATTCTCCAGTTTGAATGGCACCCATTTTTTCATTTAAAAAAAACAGAAGATGTACCTATTTTATACTCGTAAGACATATTCTAAAATCATAAGAATAACAAGAAGACATTAGGATCACGGATTTAATAAACCGAAATTACAATAAACCAATTATAATTTACTTATCTATAGAATATGAAAGACATTACTTCTTGCAGATGACTAAGGAGTCTTCTACTTTTAACAAGCGGAAATCTACACTGCACAAGTGCTCCGTGGTAACGGTAACAGTAACGCGAAACGATTATAATCTATAATTATATTAAAAATCAAAAAATGAAATTCCGTTGCCGGGACTTGAACCCAGGTCTCTCGGGTGAGAGCCGAGTATCCTGACTAACTAGACTACAACGGAGGCTGCAATTCGGTGTAACTATATGATATAAAAAAAAAAAGTCCTAATGACTAGACAAAACCACTCACCGCAAAACAAAAATTAAAAAGAATCTATCCAATCACCAGCCATATTAACTGTTTTGTGCTCATAAGAAGAAAACTAAGCTTTATTATATCAACTACAAAAAACATGCATCTCATTTGCATAGCTCTCTTTATTCAAAACAAGTTGGTGGCTTCATATTACATTGGCAAAAAAGATACAAACACTTGTACAAGTAATGCCACTCTATTCCGTACGTGATTGATACGGTTAATAGTACATTATACGAGACGTTATAACGTTTAATACCTCATTTTTGGGGAAAATGGAAGAATTATAGCCCGCTATGGCGAGAGTGTGAGTTGAAACTTGTATCTCTTTGTATATGTTTGTTTTAACCTGTCTTTGATCTCTTCCATACAATAACCGTTCCGTAGAAATCAGATGATGCTAACAAGTTCTCTCCATGGTTCCAAGCAACACCAATAACCGGAAATCGATGACCCTGCAGTTGGATATATTTTGGTCTTTAGGGTCCAATTTCATACCATAGTAAAGAGTAAAACCTTGTGTAAAAATAAGACGAACCTGTAGCTTGTTTACACAAGTATGCTTTGGCCGAGTTAAATCGTAGAAGTAGACATTGGAATCTTCACTTCCGGAAACTAGGCATTGTAACAGTATGACTGTCAGCAAACACTAAAAGAAAAGTAGTAATGAAGCATGTGGTAACATTGATATTGGCATACAAACCTATATATTCTCCTTTTTCAAGGGAAAGCAGCGGACAGAAGGAAGCCCGGATGCTGTATATTCGTGGATTTAGTTTCAGTGAGCAACGGAGAGTCAAATAACCCTGTATTTCCAGAGCAACACTACAGCATACCAACCTCACTATCAGTGGCTTGAAATTTTGAATACACAACAAAAGTAACAGGGCAGGTTCAGTGGCCAAACCTGAAGAAAGATAAACTTCCATCTTGAGTACACGTAAGCAAGACAGGGCCCCGAGCCAGCAGAGAAAAACTTCGGTACTGCACAGTTATGACTGCAGATTTCCGCCTTGTGCTACTTCGGTGACGATGAGAGCGAGACAACATTCCTGTGTGAGAATTCATGCTTATAGAATATATACAGCCCTGTAACAAATTATCCAAGAGAGTGTATGAGTAAAAGGATAGGCAGCTCATTGGAAGAGAACTGTAAATGAATATATGCAATAACATACCGTCGCATCACCACAGAAAATGAGCTGTCCAGTGTGAGCATAATCCATGGAGGTAACCTCACTGTCAAAGAATATTTTATGAATGACCCTCCCAGTGCTGAAATTGAAAACCTGAAATATAGATGTATAAGTTCCACCAATCAGATACAATCAAATACAATCAATTAAATTGACATTATCCATGCAACCCTATGACATTATTGGAGTTATAAAAAACTGGTTCCCTCATGTTTCGGAAAAAGATAAACAAAAATCAATGTAGCAATAAAACTTTTTGTGTGGGGATGTCTAATGAGATGTTCCATTATGATTGTAATTCCTACGATAAATGGGCATAGTGTTCATTTTATCAAGAGCAGTAAGATCTTTAGTTATAAAGTATGAATCCATATTCATATTAATTTGAGATCCAAGGTATTTTTTAAACTAAAAGAAATACAATTCATACTGCAGGACCATTGGACCAGAAGAACACATACTCTAACAAAACAAATTTTTTAATGTATATCATACTCATCCTAGCTCAGATGAACACACAACTGCCTTCCAATCTAAATAAATAGCAGAAAAGAAAATTCCACAAGTTCCATCCTAATGCCCAAATCTGACTTGCTTCAAAAGCACTTCCACAGCAACCCCCTTATATTTCGAATATCCTCTCATTTTTCTTCAACCAAATAAACCAAATAACTACTATCACCATAACACATAAGGATACCATACAACCCGTGAGACTTTAGCTTTTTTCCTGTCCCCAATACTTTATCCTTCACAAAGTAGAGCAGAATAATCTCTTGGAATAATCCATCTCACCCCAACCTCTGATAATAAACTGTGTCACAAATTTCGAGCAATGGGACAAATAAGGAACACATGGTCAGCACCTTCCCCAGCAGCCATTACTTACACAAGATACACCAGTGAGAAAATAGGCACGCAGTTGGGCCTTCTTTTCTGATTACTTACGTTCAGATGAACTGATGATTAACAGAAACATGTAACATGTATCAGTTATAGTTTCCCAGGGAAATCTCCCGCTGTACTCTTCTTTGGTGCCCATATTCAGTCTAAATGAATAGATAATAATGACAATATGACTCAAATACCTGTACCTCATCCACTTTACATTAAAGTACAAGTTATAAAATGTGTTCAAGTTTCAACTGTGAATGAACATAAGGTATGCAGTCATTACCGTAACTTCTTTGTCTGCATTGCCAGCTGAAAGAAAGTTATTATTTACCTGCATCGAGAAGATAACAGAAAAAAAAAAAAAAAACCCTTAAATGACAGTATTTTCATGTACAAAATAAATATAAAATGGGGTAAATGATTTTCACTTTGCACTGAAGTCATCCATAGATTTTTTATGAGGAATAATACTGTATTAAGAGCTCAAAATGCAGTAACAGTTTGTCATCCACGGATTGTCAAAGGGAAAGCCAATATTAACTTGATCTGTGAAGGTTTAAAAGGGAACGTTATTGCAAATGAGGGTCATCTGAGGCTAGTGAACGTAATCTTCTTTGAGAATCTGGTAGAGCAAAAAGGAACATAACCTCCGATACGATGAACGGAATAAAACCATATCGAAGTCCTAATTGTACAACTTTGGTATGATGTCCTTCCAACGTGGATTCACGTAGAACATCGCGCCACCATACGAACATGGTATATAGGATAAATATGAGGCCCAAACTGAGAAGTGTTGCACCCCCTTGAAATGGGTGCATGTACATCACACCTCCTACGGTGGTTGCCAAAGCTCCGAGTGAACCCGAAATAGGCCATGGACTTGGATCTACCAAATGATAAGAATGCCTCTGAGATTCAATCATAAACCACTTTGCCTCGGTTGTATGTAAACCCCCCCTTCACCCCTCTTCTTTGAGAATCTGGTAGAAAGGCAACCAAAAAGCCTGACAGGTATTCTATGGTGAAACCAGTACTTGGTTTGAATAAAATGACTTGCATTGATGAAACAAAAAAACACTTTAAACATACTTTTATAGTAAGATAACCAATATAACAAAAATATTGTGGCAATTTCGAGGGCTGAACTTTCTTAATTTTTGTGCACACTTACAGGGTGAAAACGGATACACAGTTGTGGAGACACTCCATATATTACTCGAATACAAAGGCCTTTTGAAATCTCCCACACTCGTACAGTTTTATCCATTGATGAGGATGCAATGTATTGATTGTTCGACGAAAAATCAAAGTCTGAAAAATGAACCAGAATTTCAAAAACGGATAGAAAGAGAAGCTAAAGAGATTTGCATCTTGTATAGATTACGGACTTGATGTTCAACTCTGTTGCATATCATGTTTCTAGTTACGTTTTTAAACATTAGAACCACTAAGAATACAACCTATTAATCTGCTACCAGAAATTGATTGCCTAAACCAAAAAGGAATTTTGGTGGTACCAAAGTGTGTACTTGGAGCAAATTGCAACCTAGCACTTCTGTTTTCTACATCTCAAGGAATAATAAAATTAAAGTCTTTGACCGCGAGATTTTACTAAAACATGGCTACAAATATATCATAACAAAAACAAAAGAAAAGACAACAGTAGCAATACCAGTCGATCGAACCTGTAACATCTTTGGAGTGACCATGCAGATTCTTGAGGATTGAAGGTGGATCAGAAACAGTGCATACTGTCAAGGTTCCATCTGATGCTCCATATGCAAGCAGATCAGAACTCATGTGCCCAAACTTCAAAACCGTAACTGTACATAAAAACCAATGAGGTTTCAAATTTCAACCTTTTTAAAAGTCACATTCAATCTCAGCTTAATAACACAACAATGGGGTCCCTCTAGTCTAGTACTCAAAGGAAAATAGTTACCAGAGGCTTTGCACTGATCAAAGATGCAATGCATTCCTACAAACGAGTATGCAGGTTCTGCCCGCCGAGGACGTGGGCGGTCGCTATCACTTATACTGTAGCCAAAACTTCTGCGAGGTGAAGGTTGACTGCCACTCTGGACGTCCTAAAATAAAACGAAAGTATAACAAAACCAAAAAAGGAAAAATCCAGGAAAGAACGTACAAATGACAAACTTTCGCATTGTGTTCAAGGGTCATTGATTTTACAGTTCGAAAAGCTAAAGAATTACATGTCCTCATTCAATCAACCGAAAACGATTAGAATGTGCAACAAATGCACACTATATAGGATTAACAAAAACCCATAACGTAATGGAAATTGAACTCGAAATGCACTGCATACCCTGCCAGGACTCCAGCTTTCGACGTCGTACAAAAGGGACAGTGGACTTGTAGGCAGAATCCATCGCCCACTGATGCATGAAGCAGTAAATTACCCTGATGTCAGCATACATTACGAATTTAAGAAAACAAACTAAACACTCACTAATCAGAAAATTAACTTTCGATTTCATCACGTTTCGAGAGATTAGCAAAGCTTTGATATGAATTGATCGCCGACCTGTTTCCGGGAGTGGTCTGGAGGCTCGGAGTCTGCATCCTCTCCCAATTCCTCGGCCGCCGGATGTAATTTCGAAACGCGACGTACCCTTTTCCATTGCATCTCCAATCCTTCAACAATCAGAAGCAATAACAATGTGACTGGAATGAACGAAATGAACGATTGAATTATGCAAATTGTTGAGTAGAGGAGGAGGAGGAGGAGAATACTCGGCGGCGATGAAATGGGGACTGGGGCTTGCGAGAGAGGAGAAGGCGACGGATGCCAATGTAGTCGGGATCGGAGTCGGCGGGAGCAGGTTGAAGCAAGCAGATCAGCAGTTCTGGATCTCCATTCTTCTCTTTCTCCTTCTCTTCCTCTGGTGGAACACCACCATCAGCATTATTATTATTCTTCTCCTCCTCTGCTGGACCACCATCACCCCCACCGCTGCCCTCGCCGTCCCCGCTTTTCTCCGTCATCTGAGGAAGGTGAAATCGTTTGACCTATGAGAAATATTACTCTTTGTCTCGTTTATGCTGCTGGATCACAAAATTAAAGAAACTGGAAGAAGCGATCAAAGCTCAACTTTTGGTTAAAATTAGCTTACTTTGCTATGTCTAATTAAATTAGGGTGTGCTATTCACACATCCTATTTTACTTCTCACACGTCATTGATAATTTTTGTCTGTTGATATTCTTCAATTCATCTGATCCGAAGGTTTAAAATTAAAAAAATAAGTGAGAAGTAAAATAGGATGTGTGTATATCACATCTCTTAAACTATTAATCATAATTAACATTTAATTCATAAAGTTTGAAAATTGAATTCTTTTTTATTGTGAGTTAAAAATCATCGCGGATTTACATGAACTTGTAAGTCATTGTCAATTTTTATCATAAACATTTATTTTAGTTAATACTTACTCAACTTTTATTAATGGCAAATTATATCTCCACCAAATTTTCTAAATTTTAATCAAATATTCTATCCATATTTCTAAGGTGGAAAACATTCGAGTCACTTAAATAGTAAAAATGTCATTTTGTTGAGCTCTTTATGCGGAAGTCGATACATTAAATTTGCATGATAGAGAATTGAATTCGCGGTAGTAAGTCTTAATATGGCTAGAAGTCATATTTAACTTCAAATGAGGGAAAATTAGGATCCATCTACGATAGATTTTGTTAGGTTAGATGTTAGATTAGTTATTGACGGGGTTCGTACTTATGCCGTCATGCAATGACTTAACACATTTTCACCACTGTGATAAAATGCCACTTGCGAAAGAAAATTGATCATGATAAAAGTTCTGGGATAAGTGAAGGAAATAAAAGCCTACGGTGGAAATTGGAAAAGCCGTATGTACAAGTTCATACACAAATTAGTTCAAACATCACCTGCTATTGTGTGAGGAGGTGTTTTAGCTTGAGGAAAGAAATTCAAATGCAATCAGTTGTATATATGACATTTAGTCACATGAAGAGTGAGATAAGCACAAGAAGATAAAATTTCGGTTGCACTACAAATTTTGTTCAAATTGAGACTCGAAACACAATACTAAACTGCAAATTATAATTCAAATGGTAAGACTCAAAAGCGTTTGTTTGTATAAAAGTTGAATACTTTTTATTTGTAATTACAAAATAAAATATAACATTAAAAGTTTGCTTTACATTTTTTAACCAAGCACACAAATAAACATCTTTAAGCACTTGAGTTACAATTGTTGCAAATTTGACAATGGTTTATATAGGGTATGTCTTTCTCTGTGTGTTTGTACCCGATTAGTTTTTAGGGTCAACACGATGTTTACGAATCACTAGAGTTAAATTGATCATCAATTCGAATCCTGATTTGACTCATATATCAACAAAGTTAATGCTTGGTTCATTCAATTCGAACAGAGGAAACTCAAGATGGTAGAGAAAATTTATGTCAGCAACTCACCGAGATATTGGATGACAATTTACGTATATACGATCTATATTATATATTATCACTCAATTGCAGTTAACTATTTTGTGTACTAATATCCCAAGATCAATTTCTAGACATGTTTAGAATTCGAGCTGGAAGTCAGGCTTGAGTTCATGTTGGATCTAGGCAGGCAAGACGTCAATCCAACAGAATAAGATGACAATGGCGAGGTCGATTAGGGTTTATGTGGATATTTACTTAATACCTAATTGTCCGGAAAGGTTAAAAGTCGGATTAGGTTGAAAAGGGTTTGAGAAAGTAAAGATAAAAGGACAAGAAGCTAACAACTAATACATATAATGAAGGTATTTTACTTAGTGTAATATGGTTTAATGATATTACTCTTAATTTGTAAAAAGTTTTAAGTTCGAATATCATAAATGTCGAGTTTGGTGGTAATTTTTCAGGAAATCCCCCAATCCAAAAAATTGCTTTCCTACTCGATTTTCCATTTTTTAAGGTTAAATTGGATTTATGGGTAACTTATAATTATATTATTTACATATTTCATAGACTTAACCTCTTCATACCTAGCTTTTTTTATATGTTCTCCCCCTCTCTCTAGGAATTGGCTATATACCCGTTATATGGTTAAGCTATATTCCTTTTTTGGTTGTCGGAAAGGAAAAATTGTTGGAGCAATATTAGAAAATATGAAAAATAACACTATAATTCCAACGATAATGATCATAAAGAAATTCACAACATCAATTATATATGTGATTAATATAAACAACTAGAGAGAAAATTAGAAAAAACTGATAAACTTGGAGATTGAGGCTTGCACAAATGTAATGTCCTAAAGACAGAATTTCACCCCTACTCTTGTGCTTGTAGTTCGGTAGGCGTTCGTCTCCTAGGATTCAACAATCTATCATTCGAAGTTAAAACACTTCAATCTTCGGAATCTGGCGAACTTTATATATTCCGTACTCTCAAGACACGACTTGAATTTTTACTAAGACATTGGAGAAAACTCTTCTCTTCGGTCCATTAGATATATGGGATGTTTGAGTTTATATAGAACTCAAGCCACCTCTTTTGATACATTGTGACTGTTGCCTAAAATTCTAATGAATAGACGCAACTCATGAATTTGAATTCAACTATGACACATGACTCTTATTTTTCATTCATATAGAAATTAAATATTATAATATTAATTATAATATATAATTTCCAACAATTCCCCACATGAATGAAAAATTAGGAAGAATTTGAGAGTACAGGCGGACAAGAGATGCATCGGGAGATGTGTATTTTGGACTTGAACCTACCCTAATGAATACTTATCGGATTTACTTGGTGACGCAGTGAATATGGAATCTTGAACTGTTCACCGCAGTAGTAAATCAAGACAATAAGCAACACACATCACTAATCCTAATATATTCCAGTTCATACAGTTGTGTTCATTTTAGTCCTGAACAAATCCCGGATTCATGAGAGTTTTAGAGAATTTAGCCATCTCATACTCATAGAAGCGACCCACTTCTACTTTCACATAGGTGACCACTGATTAAGAATACTCTGTAATATTCCTCTTATTTATAAGATATCACTGTCATTAAGTATAAATATACATCCTAAACTTCTGCAGACAACACACTTCTTCCATCATAGGAATGAGGTATATAGTGTGTTAACTTCTTTGAATCATGCCTGACCAATTTGCCTATTGAACTTAGACCATGGGATCTCCAATCAACTAAGTTAGGTTTCCGCCTAGCTGATTCATTAGTTATGTTGGCTTTAGCCTCATTTCCCTTAATGATCAACTTACTCTCTAGTCTAACCTTTAATAATTGGATCCACCACTAGGTTGACTATCATTAATGGTGTGCACAATCTATCTTATGAAATTATATTTCATATGAGAGTAGTTGTTTGACATTGTTTGAAATGTCAAGTCCTCAAAATTATATTAGGACTTAATTACTAAGTAATTTGCTAACAAGAAGCACTTGGGTAAACTCCCCCACATTTAAGGTATTTGTAAGAAGATCTCTAACCTTGCCATACCTTAAACAATTACTCATTACAAGAGATGATATCTTAAATGTCGTTCAATTAGCAAATTACTTTTAACCAACCCCCACAATTATTTCATAATTGTAGTTTCTTTTAATGCTATCATTAAATCAATCACATTTTCCACTTTAAGAAGTAAGGAACAACTAAGATAGACTCTATTTATCTTTTTAGGCCTTCATGCCTCAGTAGAAATTATGAGAAAATCACTTCTTGGCTTTCATTATTTCCTTACTACGACTAACATGCATGACCCAATGGCCATGTCCATTCATATGCTTACTTAATAAGCATCATTATGTCGAATTCAAATCTGCGAAATGTCTTTCATATTTTCAATATGGTATTGTCCTTTTTGAAAGACCCCCACACTTTCATGATTATTTCTTTATATTAATATCACCTTAAATGACACACAATCTCATCCTGGGCCTCTTGAAATTTATAAATATATCACTTTGAAGAAAGCATATAAACGATTTTGCAACATTATTATCACTATATGATAATACATCCAGTCGGTATGTAGAAGTTTACATACTAGCCCATGAACGCATTTGAATATGTCAATGACTAGTTGGAAAGGTCATACCTTTTCACTATCAAAAGCAACACTTCAAATGGCATGCTTCTTCTTTGAATCTCACATGGCAGATTTCAATTTTCATTCCACCGCATTACAAAACCATCCATTTGTTGAATAGTTGCATCTTTCTGCAACTTAACCTCCACATGGTTCTATATGACTCAAAATCCTTAACTTAAATATAATGGATATAAAACCGCATGCATGGAAGGCTGGAAGCTGCGGTCTCACGGATTAACACCCAATGATCAATCCCAGTTATGCAACGGTTTGCATCTTCCTACGTATCAAGATATGACTTTCCTGATATAAGAGCAACCTTTTAATAATGATTTTCTCATAAACTGATATTGCTTATTAGTTTGATTCTCTCCAAGAATCACTTAATAAACCATGCACTAGTTTAACGAGATGCAACCAGAGGTCCCCTGTCTTAATCATAATATCAGTTGAAAAGGTGCATCGGTTATTATATTCAAAACATTCATAACTTACCAAACATAATCAATTGGCATCACAACGGTAACCTTTTGGCATACCCATATTACATACAACTCTTTAAACATAAAAGCATAAAGAGGATATTATATCAGGGCATTTTCATCATGCCTAATTATGTGATTAGTGACAGTTTTGCAATATATCTTCGTGCTTCAATATCTCAATTAATTACTCTTGAATGAACAGTCATACATATAACATATTATAAATCATGCCGACAAATTCTTGGCCATATACTAATATAAACAGATGATTAATGCAGAATGAATTCAAACAATTCCACTGTCATTAGTTAACAGGACTTTGCATGTATATATGTTAAGAAACTTTATTCAGTTTACCAAACCAAACAGCCACGCTACATATTAGATCTCAACTTATAAAAATAAGAAACGCATAAATGTATCTTAATCATCAATAATTCCCATAACTCTTTCGTTGTTTTGTATGCTAAACATACAATCTACAACATGTGGTTCTGAAAAGCAAGAGAAATTATTCCAATATGCTAGCGTAATTTTTTTTGGTGAATCATTCTGCATTGAGAGGCTTTGAATTGAAATACACACATTTTATCATGTGTTGTATTCAAGCAAAGCAATTTTTCTAGAATTTGGAACTCCACTTTACCCAAACAGTACCGTCAATTTGCGTACTGATCACTGTATCAATTGCAATGTTTCTTCAATCCAAAACGAGTACCTTAATGGCAATTGATCTTTCGCTATTTTGTATACTGAATATACAACAAACAGTATGCATCTTGCCAAATGATCTAACACCATGACTCATCAACAAATAATCAACTTCCTTGCTGCTTTCTCTATTTTTCTCAATTTAATTCTCACAACCATATTTTTCAATTATTGCATAATTAAAATTCTGTCTTTAGATTGTTGGAGCAATATTAGAAAATATGAAAAATAATAATATAATTCCAATGATAATAATCATAAAGAAATTCACAACATCAATTATATATGAGATTAATATAAACAACTAGAGAGAAAATTAGAAAAAACTGACAAACTTGGAGATTGAGGCTTGTATAAATGCAATGTCTTAAAGACAGAATTTCACTCCTACTCTTGTGCTTGTAGTTCGGTAGGCGTCTGTCTCCCAGATTTAACAATCTATAATCCGAAGTCAAGGCACTTCAATCTTCGGACTCTGGCGAATTTCATATATTCTGTACTCTCAAGACACGACTTGGATTTTTACTAAGACATTGAAGAAAACTCTTCTCTTCGGTCCATTAGATATGTGGGATGTTTAAGTTTATATAGAACTCAAGCCACCCCTTTTGATACATTGTGACTGTTGCCTAAAGTTCCAACGAACAGACGCAACTTATGAATTTGAATTCAACTATGACATATAACTCTTATTTTTCATTCATATAGAAATTAAATATTATAATATTAATTACAATATATAATTTCCAACAAACACTAGCCGATGAACACACTAGTATAATATAAGCCTTAATATTGATCTCAACAAAACCACCTTTAATTTCCTTGGCTACGCACTTTGCGTTGGACGTCTTGAATTACCTCCGTGCGTTTGTTTGCTGTGTAGCAGTGTACGTTTTAGCTGATTTTAGTCATCAAGATGGATTTAACCTCGGTAAAGCCAATCAATACCAAAAGCGAAGAAAAATCGGAAGAAGCAAGTTCAACTACACCCACAGCTAAAGAGGCTAGACTAATGCGACCGGAGAATGTGCGATGCCCACCTGCCCCAAAAAAGTCCCGACCTTCTAAAGCAGCATATATTAATGGAATCGGTTTTCCTCCGGTAGTTGGTTTGGAGAAAACTTTCAACAACTGCTAAGAGAACCAAGTAGTAAAGATTAATGCAGAGATGAGGAGTCTTAACTTGTTTTGTTTTGCATTTTAAATAATTACTAGTTATCCTTCCATGGATGGATGCTACTTTTATCTTTTCTGTAATCGTTTGCTGAGAGAAGCTTATAGTAATGAATAAAGATTTATGTAATCGGTTTCATACATTCTGTATCTATATATATGTGTGTGGGTGTGTAGCTTTACTGGATGTTTCTTTTGCTGTTTAATTATTTTTGCATGTGTACCTGGAATAGAATGCGAGGATTAAATAGTAGCAGCTTGTTGCTTTGTGAAGGAAGTTGAGGTTTATTGTAAAAGTAATTGGCAATATGAGAAATAACCCAACTTACTTATACGCTCATGCAAGGTTCTTTCTCTTATTAATGTGTGATTCATCTCAACATGCCCTTGTCATGTGTGACAAATTTTCAAGCCAAACATATGGACGACACAACCGGGGTTACGTGGAGCATGTGTGGCTTCACACACGGGACAACCTGCTCTGATACCATAAAAGAAGTTGAGGTCCACTATAAACCAATTAGCAATATAAGAAGTAGCCAACTTACTTATAAACTCATGTAAGTCCTCTCTCACCAGTGTGGGATTCATCTATTACTATGTTTGTAATCATGCTTCTAATTAATTATTAAATTTGGAGTTTATGTGTATTCATCAAACTAAAAAGTGCATATGGAGTTTACACTGCAAGTCTGCAAGTCAAGATAGAGAGGCGAAAGATGTGTGAAACATGCAGTGATGTAAGAATAAGGCCACGGGGAAAATTTGCAGAGAAAATACGCGATTCGACGAGGCAATAAGTTTAAACTGAATGATTTCATTGGCGTATAGAGAGTACGATATATACAAGTCACAGACTCCAGTACGAGCAAAATTCCTTATAGTATAAGGATAATAATTACAAATTGATGGTTGACGAGATCTGTTCATAAGCAAGAAGGGCAGGAAGAAGATGAATGTTTGGTTGTGAAGATGGCCAGGGTTTGAGAATATATTACTTGACACGTGTGGCAATTTTAGTGGGCCACATTGGTGGTCCGTGAGATAAAGATGCTGACCGATGAGTACCCAACTATTGGGTTTTATGTAGAAGCTTGAATACATTAAGTTTTTTTTTTTTTTTTTTTTTTTTTTGACAAATAGTGGTAGTTGATTAAATTGTTAGTTATTAAAAGAAGAGAGGATTGATGTGAATTAAACCCATATCAGAATGTATAGACAAATTACTTTCCATTATTGCGATAACGCGTCTCCTACCATATGTTAAGCTTTTAACTCGCAACCCTCGGGTTTAGTAAGTAAACTTGCCACTCTTTAGACATGTATAAGTAGAAATAACCCTTTATAAATACAAAAATATATAAACATTTTTCTTATCCATAATATTGAGAATATTACCGTAAGAAATGAGCCAAGTCACTTGTTGAGGAATGGTTGCATTCATCTTGCCAAAAGATTTTGAGAAAATATTATGCGTAACCGGTTTTATATTCTATATATCTTTCTCATTTTGATCTTTCTTATCATATAACTAGTCACGTGATGAGAGGATGACAATTGCTGTATCCAATTTTTTTTCGTGCCTTAATTAATCTTTTCATAACACCTGAAATTCCCTTATGAGAAGATGAATCCGAACAACACCTGAAATTCCCTGAAGTGAAGGTTCATGTTCTTCAATATTCTTTCTTGGAATATTGAATCTTGTAATTACTCATACATTTGTATTATACGTTACTAATTAGGCACTTGTGGATTTTGAATCATCAGCGGGATAATAGTATCTATTGAAAAGCCAATGGGAATCAGCTTCTACGGCATATCCATCTTCGTTGCGGTGCCAGCTAAAGTGAGCATGGGTTCTGTTCTTGATGTCAAAGATGCCGTGACCAAAACTGGCTTCCCGGAAGACTGAGTAATCTGGCTGTGGCTCCGTCATACTGCACCGCGAAAGAAAGCACGAAAACACATATGCTAAGTCTTTCTAAGTATTTTGAAAAGTTGTCAAGCCCTTGATGGTAATTGATTAGTAAAAAATATTCATACGTTAGTATGCAATTCTAATAGGAAAATACTGCATCTATTCGTGTATGTTGATGTTCTTACACGGTCGATAAGCCTTCAAGATTTCCTCCATCACCAACAGTAATGTAGACGGGTGCAGATTGATCTTTTACAGGAGTGCAATTAGCATTCACAATGTCATATGCAACATTGGAGATGCGTTCCTGCGATATAACCGATCACTAGTCAAATAAAGACATCAAAAATTGATGAATGGATGTCTTGCAGAGAGAATCTCATTAATACACACACACACACACACACACACATATATGTTATATACACACTGGGCACTTACAGATCGCTCGTAGGCATGGACATGACCGCTAAATACCACATCGACTTTGTACTCCACAAACCAGGCCTCAAACATTACTCTCATGGCTTCTCCTTCCATATAGTGCGACTGGTAGCTATTATACCATGGACAATGCATTATAACAATCAACCAAGGGGTCTCACTCCTGTTAACTTTCGGTAGCTCCTCCTGGAGCCATTTGTACTGCGGAGTGTATGTACCTTAACAAAAAAAAGGAAATGATTATACGTCACATTAAGCAGTAGAACCATTCGATTAAACGAAAACATTGTGCAGGATTCAGATATAGTATGTATTCTGTATAGAAAACGAAATACGTCCACACACACAGAGACAAACACGCACACAGAGACACCTATATTTTATTCCCTTACCGTATGCAGAATAAGAACCCAAGACTATAACGTATGCGGAAGCTCTTTTGATTGAGTACCAAAATGGAGCAGTACTCCCCGATGCATTATACGGGACATAATACCGGTGAGTGTAAGGCTTAAAAGGTATTGGTTCACCCTGCAACAAAAGTACCAAGCTTCTTTTAGCAAAATACTTTATCCCATTTGCAAAATATACGTTCGTGAAATGAGCAGCAATTCCAGTTTAAATCTATAAACACAATGGGATCATAGTCGAGGAAGATTCTATATTCCTAGTCCATTAGCTATATCATACAGGACGGTTTAGTTTTTAGCTTACAACTTCTGGGGCAAAATCAATTTCATGATTCCCTGCGGTCCATATCCAAGGTTGATAAGCAGCACTTCTCTCCACAAATCTTCCCCATGTATCCCACCGAACATTATTATGATTCGGGTAGTCATCTGCATAGGAGAGGTCCCCAAGATACAATATTGTTTGTCCTTTCAGCGGGTTTGATTCGTAATGAGTAAGAGTCTTGTTTGAATCAAAGGTCTGACCCAGATCCCCTGCAAATAAAACCCCAATGATTAAGGCCAAAAACAAAATGCATACTGTTTCAAATTAGAAAGTTGCGCACCAAGGAACGAGTTTCAAAAGATTTAAACTAGCAAAACTTTCCAACCCACTAAACAGCAAGAAGTTATCTTTGAATCAGAAAGCCAAAAGTTAAAGCAAGTCTAATTAGTTGCATCACGTTACGATGCATCCATTTCTGGTATGACATCCTCACCTATGAGACCAAATGTGTAAGGTACGTCCGGCCCAACTTCAGGAGGAGTTGTAAACCAGAACTGCGTTTCAGTTTCTTCGCCAATTCCAACCACATAGTAATATCTGGTGTTGAACTGCATAACAATTTAGCTGATTAGAGCATACTATTATCTATAACTTGTACTGAGGCTACATGCGTAATTTCAGTCAGCAAATTCCGAAACTCTCGGACCAATTCCAGAAACTATGCAATTGAAGATGAATAAAAAATGAGGCACAACATAAAGCAGAGGAAACGTACCGTCAAGTTTCCGATGACACAATGGTGAATGTAACCAGAAGTGTAATTGTAAAAAGTATAAGTTGTAATTATGCCCTCAGCCGTCTGGTTCTCGCTATTTGCACTCCAGTAAACCACCTTACTGTAACCTGGTTCGTCGGCAGTGATCCATGACACAATCACCGCGCTTCCCGTGTGGTCTCCTTGTGTTATATGAACCTTTACTCAGCACAAACATTTCAGACAAGTAAAAACGCTCGAAACCACACAAATTAGTCAATCCCATCAAGAAAAGAAACAAGACTATGTAGTAAGCAATACGTTTCTGAAATCAAAACTAAAAAAAAAACAGTAACGGGTCTTGTAAATATGGTTCCATACAATTCAATAGAATGTAAACAATCAAAACAAAAGACAGAACTGCATTAACAATGTATCGTAATTCTAGAGAGAGAGAGAGAGAGAGAGAGAGAGAGAGAGAGAGATTATACTTGTTGAGGTGCATTGTACCCAGGAGGGACTCGAAAGACGTCACTGTCAAGCGGCATATCCGCGCTGAAATCAATTTTCCGCACAAAAGCGCTTGTTTGACCTCCATTACAAACCACTGCCAAGTTCAAAACCAAACCCAAGACTACAAAAATGGTTACCCTTGAACAAGTAGAAGAATCTAAGCTCCCCACACCCATCTCGGTCATATTATCCACAGCACTCCATTTGCTCTGAACCCTCATCCTCCTTAAATATACATGAAACCGTTAAATAAAATTAAACAAAAAAAAAATTCTGTAATTTGTCATACTGTGAGGTATTTGAATGAAATGAGAGTTGGGTTGGCCTGGATTTTGTCTTAGGTGGGTTCTTTGTTGGTGATGTTGTGATGTTTGAATTCTTAAGCAGATTCTTATGTTTGTCTTCCATTTTTCTTTAGCTTTGTCTGTTTAGGCTTTAGTGGTAAGCTCGATGAGTCTATGCTACGAACTTTGGTTTCCCCGTTGCCTTCGTTTTGCCGATGTGCGATGAATACTGTTTTGTGTTGGTGCAGTTTTGTTTTTCCCGTTGCCTTTGTTTTGCCGATTTGCCGATGTGGTAAAAATACTGTTTTGTGTTGGTGCAGTTTTGTTTTCCCACGTGTCGTATTATAATATTGAGGAGAGGATGTTGGGGGCAAAGATCCTCTCCTACCAAAACCTACCAATCAATTAATTCAAGCTCTTGAAATTTGATCTAACGACTACAAATAGGGAATTCCTTAAAAAGTTAAAATAATTTTAGCCATTAGATCAAATTTTAAGGGCTCAGATTAATTGATTGGTGGGGTTTGGTGTGAGAGATCATGAGAGGATCTCTTCATGATGTTGGGTACTACACCCTTAATCCGGATAGTGTGAGAGGGGAGAGATTTTTATAATGTGCATTTGTTTTTACCATCTTAAATAGTGGTAATACTCACCACTATATTATTATTAGTGCATGTGTTTGAATTTTGAGATTTGTCTATTCACAAGATGGATCTCGAAAGTTAAACTCATCTAAGAGTGATAAAATAAAGTATTAATCAACATCACTTGAGGTTGAGGGTGGTTGGCAAAAATATTCTATTTCTGTGGGAGGGATGAGACTAAAAGTGGACCATGTAACCATGACAAATCAAGAGAGATGAGGTAGCAAGTATTAACTTCACTAAGATCTTTGAACAAATGTAAGGAACTAAGATGAAAAACTAGAGGGCAATAAGAGAGAGTATGTGTTGAGAGAGAATGATTGTATATTTCCAGATGCCATAATGGCAATTTACACTTTGGTTTTATAGAGCTAAATGACGTGCTCAATTACAATAATGCTCTCTAACTTCTTTGGTTATTACCACAAACTTTTAACAAACTTATCCTTATAACCACCTTACCTGCCTACACATTACAACTAACCACACTTCTCAACTAATCACATTCTTCACTCTTAAGTAACCATGTCATCACTAATGACTATGGTTAATACTCCCCCCTCACGCTAAGCTGCCAGAGCTTAGATTGACAGCAAGACATCTTCAAGAACACTAAGACCCTGATGCATTTGTAGACTGCTGAGGAAGAACTCCAATGTTGAGATTGTTGTAGTGTTTAAGAAAGACTGGACTATGAAGACCCTTTGTGAATACATCATCTACTTGTTCTTCAATGGGAATGTATTGCATAATAATATCCCTTTTTTGTACTTTTTTTTCTCGAACAAAATGGTAGTCTGAGTCTAGGTGTTTAATTTTTGAGTGAAACACTGGATTAGAACACAAGGCTAATGATGACAAATTATCACATTGTAATTGAGGTGGTATGGGAATAAACTGGTTCAAATCTTTCAGTAATGAACGGATCCAAAACGCATTAGTTGCACAGTAAGCCAAAACTTTATACTCAGCTTTTGTGGAACTTCAAGACACTGTGGATTGCTTCTTAGATTGCCATGAGATTGGATTATAACCAATATAAACCACATAACCAGTGATAGACCTCATAGTGTTAATATTTGCTGCGCAATCAGAGTTGGAATAGGTTGAAATGGTAGAGTCAGCTGATTTTGTATACCTTAAACCATAATGAATGGTTCCTCCAAATATCTCAAAATCCATTTAACCAAATGCATATGTAACTTAAATGGCTTTGTCATGTATTGGCAAACAACATTGACAACATGAGCTATATAGGTCTTGTAAATGTAAGGTATTGAAGTGCACCTACTAAGCTTCTGTAATGAGTTGGATCATCAACATGAATTCGTTTAGAAACAAGTATTTGAGAGTGAGGCTTTGATGGAGTTAAAGTGGGCTTACATGACTCTATGCCTGCTTTCTTTAGCAACTCTTTTGTGAACATCAATTGATTAACAAATATAGATCCATCTGATTGATAGTGAACTTGAAGTCCTAAGAAATATGTCAATTGTCCCATGTCTTTTAAATCAAAGACATCTGCAAGTTGGGAAATGGCAAATTGTATCTTTGCATGATTTGAACTAGTCAATATTATGTCATCCACATATAATAGCATGATAATCACATCTCCATCATCTTCTTTCAGAAATAGACTAGTATCAGACATTAGGTTTTAAATCCCAGGGAAGGCAGGAAATTAGTAAACTTCGAATTCCTGGCTCTTGGAGCCTGTTTGAGATTGTATAGAAATTTAATTAACCTGCAAACATGTGTTGGATGCTTGGAATTCAAAAAACCTTGTGGTTGTTTCATGTAGACCTCCTCCTCAAGTTCCCCATGTAGAAATGCATTCTTGATGTCTAATTGTCTCAAACCTCTAATTATTTTGAACTACCAATGCAAGTATTAATCTCATTGAAATGTGTCGAACTACTGGACTGAATGTTTCAGAGTAGGCTAGACCTTGTTCTTGACTGTAACCTTGTGCCACCAACCTTGCCTTATACCTTGCAACTATCCCATCAGGATTTCTTTTGACTTTGTACACCCATTTACTCCTAATAACAGTTTTATTTGTTGGAGGGGGAACTAATCTCCAAGTTCCTTGAGCTGTCAATGCATCGAATTCCTCCTGCATGGCATTTTGCCATTGTACTATTATGGATGCTGCTTTAAAATGTTTAGGTTCTTCAACCTTAGTTATATCAACAATGAATGAGAATTCTCCACACATGTCATCAAATTCTAATGATACACTAGGATCTTGAAATTGTAATGATTGTAACTTTGGTAAAGCAGCAACAAAGGATGAATAGTTTTCTCTTTGAATAGCTCATGTCCTTAGTTGAGTTTGGATGCCATGATCTAAACATTGAGCAATGTTATGAGTGTTAGGTGAAGAAGAAATAGGGAGTATTACTTGGAATTGTGCAGGATCAAGGACATGAAGCAAAAAAGGCGTATTAGATGAGGAGGAAAGAGTATTGCCTATTGTAGATGTTGAGCCATGGACTTGACTACTGATATCTTGATTTTCTATGTTTGTAGAAGCATTGGAATTGATAGAAATATTGGAAGACCCTTTATATTGTACAGAAATGTTCCCAGACCGACTTAGAGAACAAGCTGAATGAAGATGACCATTTTGATTTGCTGCATTTTCATGATGTAGAACCTGTGTTAGAATTGAAAATGGAACAACGACTGATCTAACCAAATGAGATGATGTAAATGAATCCATAGGTTGCTTAGAGATGTTATGTTGTGAGTCTTGAATATAAGGAAATATGATTTCATCAAAAAGTACATGCCTTGAAACAATGGATTTCCTAGTTTTGGGATTGTAACAGATAACACCTTTATAACCCATTGAATATCCTAAGAAAATACATCTCTCAGATCTTGGTTGTAGCTTATTGTTGTTATATTGTTTTAACCATGGATACACAGCAGTACCAAATATTTTTATAGACTTCAAATCTGGTTGCTTGGTATACAATCTTTTGTAAGGGGATTCTAGTGCCAAAGACTTACATGTCATCCTATTGATAAAAAACACTGAATGTACACATACATAATACCAAAATTCAGCAGGTAAACCAGCAACAATAAGCAAAGTGATAGTAGTTTTAACAACATGCCTATGTTTCCTTTCTACCACTCCATTTAGTTGTGGAGTATAAAGACTAAGAGATTATATGTTCAATCCCTTTTGAATAAAGAAAAGCTTTAAATGCAAGACTAGTGTATTCTCCTCCTCCATCAGTTTGCAAACATTTAATTACAATTCCAAATTGAGTGCGAACAAAATTATAGAACCTTACAAACACAATAATTGTATCAAATTTGTTGCACAATAAAAAAATCCACACATACTTTGTATATTCATCAACAAACTTTACATGATATCTATACCCTTCAATAAATTTACAGGAGATGGTTCCCAAATATTTGAGTGAACCTTCTAAAATGGCAGAGATCATTTATCACTTCTAATAGAAAAAAAGGAATCCTTAACATCTTGCCTTTTACACAATGAGTACACATATTATGAGTACTATCTATATCTATACTTATATTGGACTGTTTTAACTTTACCAATTGTTCCAAAAAGCTGAATTCTACATTGTAGATTGCACTCTTCTTGATTTTTCACAATTGGTACTTCAAATAGCTCCCTAGGCTTACTGTTTCCTTGATACAAAACCTCATTTGTCTTTTTGTCCTGCACAAAAAACTCACTCTCATCACAAATAAACCAACTATGGTTATCATCACATAATTGTCGTACAGAAAGAAGACTTCTTGCAATTTTAGGAACATGTAACACATTTTTAAGGATCAATTCATGAGAATTGTGTTTGAGTGTAGTTGAACCAATATTGTCAATGGTTAGACCTGTGCCACTGTTAATTGTGATTTTCTCATAACATTCAAATGGAGTGACTTGATTGAGTGTATTCACATCAGTAAGTGATATGGTGAGAAGCTCCAGTATCAACAATCCAAGAATCTTGTTGAACATATTGAGGTGTTTGTTGTGCTGCCATAAGCATTCAATATTGCAGGTGGAAGAGGACCTTGAAATACATAATTTGCCCTGTGAAAACACTATAGTGCATAATGTCCTATTTTTCTACAAATCTAACATTCTAGCAATCAACCTGTAGTTGGTGTATTTGAATTTTGATGAAAGCAATTGACAGCTGTATGACCTCTTTTATTGCATATTTGGCATTCAATTACCACATTGGACTTGTTTTTAGCGCTACTAGACCACATACTAGAGCCATTAAGTCTTGAATTCCTAGATTGAAAGCCTGAAGAGTCACCATAGCTGAAATTCTTGCCTTTATAACCACCATTTTGCCTGTAATTATTACCTTTGTAATTTGAACCGTTGAATGATTTTTGACCAAAGTTCTATCTTGGACTACCAGAGTTCGATCCATTGCCCATGAAAGCAAAACCATAAGACTGTGAATCAACGAGTTGAGACTACTGTGGAAACTGCTGCTGTGGATACTGTGGTAGTGGAAATTGCTGTTGTGAAAATTGTTGTTGTGTAATTGTACCACCTGTTGTAGCAGGGATATGACAGTGACCCAAGGGTTAGATCCAGATGCATTAGATGAA